GAAAAAATGCTGTGGTGCTTAGCCAATGAATTTCAGCCCTGATGACAGAGATAAGGGTTGAAGATTAGCAGGGCGCTCAAAATGATGACCTGGGTACACTTCAGAAAATTTTAACGATAGTAAGGCTAAGTATATGTGTGCAAACAATTGTATTCAAAGACATTTTCTCTATCGGAACCTTATTGTTTGGGAGAAGACAGTATTTTCGCGACATAAAACTTCAGGAGCAAAATAAAGAACGTATAGTATCGAAATATGGTCCGCTTTGATCATTCCATCTGGCCGTTTAACAGGCACACTATTCAGCAGGGAAAACGTTACTCATTCGCACTTCTCATCCTCTGGGATGAAATACGTTGTTATCTGCACCCCTCTAACAGGTTTCGCCCCAGTTGTCCCTTAACCCTGCGACACTGTTTCGTCTCTCAATCTCTTCCACAAACTACTCCACTCTTTAATCGCTCCAGTAAGTTTGGGTGCCACTCACCCCCTTTGGGTCTGCCTTTCGAAGCGGTGAATTCCCGTTCCTGTTGCCTTCCTTTCTCGTCTAAGAATATGTTATCAGTGGGGGTCTGGGAGCGCGAGTTACACGGCTCTTGTATCCTACTCGCATTCAAAATCATTTTTTTTGTTGGTACGAGACACAATCGTCCTCGCGCTGCATCTAGAAACCAATTCAAAACGCTCTATGATTTCTGTCATCGTGCTGTCAAGCCTACAGACAACACTGGGAAGAAAAAAGCTCTTGCCTCTTAGGAGGGTGAAATTCAGTGAACAATAAGAACAAACCCAGTCTGGGGAACTTGGGGTAAGTCCTCTGCCATGTGCATCCATCCGTCAGGCTAAGGACATTTTCATTTTCCCTATCGGATAACCAGACGGAAGTCTAAGGAAAAGGCGCGCCATTGAAATGTCGCGGCTAAGTGGTGACGCTCTCAAAAAATACGCAGAGAAGTGTAGAGAAAGCAAGAAAACGGTAATTCGTGGTCTGTTATTATCATGGAACACTAGGGTGATTATGACTGGTTGAACGTTGTCCCATATGATTCGAGATTCCCAAACATTAATCAAACTGGGTAATTCATCTTCACATTCTTGTTATTTCTGCAGAAATTGTCGGGAAAATTTCATTGATTATTTTCGCTGTAAAAATCTGTACGGAGAGGATTACAAACCGTGCAATTACTTTTACAAGATGTATCACAATATTTGCCCGAAGTTTTGGGTATGTCCCGCAAATTTTTTCTTTTCATCCCTTAGTACGAGGAATGGGAAGCTCAGGTCGCTGATGGCACATACCCTTACAGGGACCGATTCAGCAAGTAATTGTTGATGACCTATTTTGTCAACTACCATTCTGTTAGTCGCAATAGGAGTACACTCTACTATCCATACTGACTTCTCTGATCATCGAGTTATACGTGGCAGGTGGAATCAGAG